CCTTCTGCTTTTAAAGAAGCATTAAAGCGGGCTTATGCAACCGCTCCCGTGTCCGTCTGTCTGTCTGTCGTCCGTGTAAGAGTAAGGAGATGAGCTACGTTACGGTACGAAGTACCTGGAGCATTTGTTTCTTTAGCGCACGATCTTTCCTACCTTTTTCCCTCATTGGCTGAGCGATAGCGAAGCCTATTACTCCAGTGACGATCAAAAAGTTTCGCGTCTGTCTGTCTGTCTGTGTGTCTGTGTGTCTGTCTGTGCGCACGATAACTCGAGAACGAATTGAGCTAGCGACCTGGGATTTTCAGGGTCGTTTTGTGTCATAAAAAGACAGATCAAGTTCGAAGAAGAGCATTCTAGCTCAAAAATTGGATTTTTAAAAAATCAAAAACCACAGGTCCCCAAAATCACACCACAGACAGACAGACGGACAGACAGACGCGAAACTTTTTGATCACTGGAGTAATAGGCCTCGCCAATCGCTCAGCCAAAAAAAGGTTGCGCCACGGTCTCGAAGATTTTCGATTTTCTTCAATTGCCTCAAGCACTCTAAAATCGTATTATCTCACCCGGATTCGGCCGTGTGAGGTCACCCACACGCTTACATCATCTCTAGACCTTACCAATGAGGAAAGCAGACCGTTGGCCCTTCTGGGGTGTGTTGCCTACGTTCCACGGGGACGAAAATTGTCGCTTTTGTGTCAAAAGCGACGTTTTTCGAGGTTTAACGGCTTCCCCAAGCCACTTCAGCCGTCCGGGGGTTACTTCTATGGTACCAAAATGTTGGTCTATATTGTCCCCCTGTCCACCTGTCCAGAAGAGCGCTATGCGGACCGTGCGCGCAGGTTGCATAGCTACCAGGGGCAACAAACCATTTTAGAGCATTTCCGAAAAACGATTCATGCGGGTTAAAATCGTTTCTTATCAACAAAGCTTCATCCCGGGCGTTGCGGAAGGACACGAAATGTACGCCGCAGCATCATTGCGCCCCTCAAGACCGGTTGGGGTGGGTTGCCTGGCTACCAGGGGCAATAAACTTCAACAATATTTTTTTAGAAAGCCGAAAACTTATAGAACGAGCTTTGTTAATCGCCGATCACGTCCGTAAGGCATTTCGAGGGGGTTTCTCTGACCGTCGTCTCGCGTAACAGGCTTCGCGATGTGTCTCGGCACGCCTGGCATACGTATGGCTTGTCCTGCGGCGCCGACACGTCACTAATTTACATATTTTGTGGATTTCGCGTCTATTTTGCACTATATTGCCGTTCATTCGCGCTATTCCGCATATCCTGTGATCAATTATATCTGTGCAGGTGGAGGTCGACATGTTCGCACCGCGAGGAGAAGCGTGTACGTCCGTTTCTTGATTTTC